GTCTTGTAAATATTAACGGGTTCGAGTTCGAGTTTGCTTCAAACCCGACCCGACCCGACCCTTACGGAGCACTAATTTAAACAATCTTTCATTAGAGCAGAGATTAAATAATACGTATATTTATACTAATTTACTTGATAAATAAAAAATTATTAAAATTTGAATGCTTTAATTTCGTATTTTTAAATTTTCTATATCTTTTTTCAATGAATTTGTATATTGTTCGTGTCCTTTTTCAACGAATTTTTACAGTGCTATTAGATAAAAAAGAGATAAGAAAATAGTTAGTTTATAAAACTAAGTGAGTCGTTGTGGCATAAGTACAACGGCATCTAGTCTCATGAGTAACGACATTGGCTGTTTGTCTCCCAAATAATATGCCCCTCTAATCTTTTACAACAGCACGATTCCGGGCGACGCTTTTTGGTAAAAAATCCAGATTCAGGAGTAAACTCTGAGTCTGACGATATGAATAATGAGTAGGAATTGTCTAGTCTAACAGTTCTCAACTCCTTAAATCTTCATTTTTCTCGTTAATTTTATCGATTTCTTTGTTTAATTTTCGATGTTCGATAAATCAGTTGTTTTTAGATGAATTTCGCTTTGATTCAAAGAAATAAAATTTTTTGTTACGAGCTGAAATTTATCATTTTCTTTTCGATGCGATGTAACCACCTGAATCCTCTTCAAAGGATATTTTTAAAAAATATTGAGAAATATACTGTATACTTTTGAAAAAAAATTTTGCAGGATAATTATTGAGAGAGAGAGAGAGAGAGAGAAGAGAGTTGTATAAGTTTGTATTTTTTTTTTGAAAATTTAATTTAGGAAAATTAAATTTTTATACTGTTGAAACGCGTTAAAAAAAAATACATAAATTAAAATCGCGTCAAAATCACGCGTAAAAGTTTATTATGAAAATTCCTTATATGGTAATTTGATACAAATGCATGTCAGGACATAAAAATTCCTGTACATGAATTATAATTGGTGATGAAATTTTCTGACAAAGACTTTTAACGTTAATATACAAATTCAAGATCAATTTTCAGAGAATGTAGTGTTGTAATTTTATGATCATTCAAATCGCACTCTACTAATCAAGTGTCTTTTTTTCGATCTAATAGAAATATGCAGTAAAGAAGGTGTTGAAAGTGAATTTATTCCATAAAAATTCTTGCCATACCTTTGTTTAATCTAAAAAAAACAGTACAATAATGACTTGGAAATTTAAGCGATTGTCGATATTTTTGGAAATAATATAGTATGAATCGCAACTTTTATGTAAGTTGATAATGTTTATGTAAACTTATTATTACAAAATCAAATCTGAGTTAAAAACTGCTTATTTCTTTAAAAAACATAATTAAATTATATAAGTAGATTTTTTTGCATTTTGCATCACTCATCAAATTCAACAATTGCTTCCGATAATTTCTGTAGAATACTAACCATGCAAGAAGAAGCTATAAGAAAGCGACACAGAATTTGGCTAATGGTTGGTTCGTTCAAACTAATATTTTTGACATCATTTCCTGTTTCATATGGTTTATTAAATCAATGAAAGATAATAGGAAATAAAGTCGACAATACAATCTCGTTCTTATAATAAAAAACACATTTAACATTTTAAACAAGACTATTTTTTTTTTTAACCCAAAAGTTTCTATCTTATCGATCGCTAAGAAAAATCGCATACTTTATTTTCTTCACATTTCTATTTGACTTTTTTCAATAATCATAACATACTCAATAACTCAAAATTCATTGTCATCAGCCTAATCCAAGTTGGCTGTTAGAAATAATTTTCAATCCTTCTTCTGTTAAGCGCAACAAGATATTTTAAAACCGTTGAATTATAAACAAATCCTTATTGTAAATAACTAAATAATAATAAATTGAATGGCTTTAAAATACAAACTGAAAAATATACGAAAATTGATATTTTAATAAAATATCGATTTATCTTCGTTTTCTCTTCAAGAATTTTATAGAGAGAAATGATATTACAAATTCAAAATTTTCCGATCATTTGTTTCAAATCAGATAATTCATCTTTATGGGACAATGTATCCAAAGTTCCAAATCAATTCTGGGTAATTTCTTTTTAAGTAATTTCCAAAATTAATTTTAGAGGAAATAATGACCATATTCATCAAATACACCTTGTAATGTTCACATTTTCCATTTCCAACCCTAATCTTCCAAAATTAAAATTAGCGACTCTAGGTTGGTTTTCTACCTGCGCTTCAAATATATCTCCTGATTTTGCATCAGAACGTAATTGAGACACGAGAATAATATTATCATTGATGTCAAACAAATCCTTTTGATATAAATTGCTCATCCAATCATTCAGGAGTTTATAATTTTATCCCATCCAAAGTTTCTATTTTTTGTAAAAACCGTGAAAATGGAAATTTGTTTAGTGGAGAAATCTTTTCTAGCATACAACTTTTTTACCATCATCCACGAATGATACCAAAAGTTCGGATTGATAAATGCATCAAGTGGTTTTAAATTGTTATTAAAATCATCCTTATCAAGTTTGAGTCGTACCAAATACATTATTATATTCTTATATGACAATATTTTATCCACTTTGCATATTTTATTTGATGTCGTAATTTTTCAACGCTTATATTATAAAGGTTGTGCGCTGCACGTTACCCGGATTGAAAATCGTCTAACCTTCATCGGCTTATCATCTTTGTAGCTATAAATATTCAATTTATGAATTTGCTAAAACGCAAAAAAAATTTTCGAATGGATGTTTAAAACTGATTAAACAGATTATCTATATGGCGATATAGCCTACAGTATATTGGAAAGAAGTTATAATGATAAGAGCAATATCTATTAACGAATTTTAAAATGATTTAAATATAAAATTAATCAACAATGGATGATAATGACCAACACTTTATCTTGTTATCCTGAAAATATAGAAATGACTGAATAAAAATGGATTGCCATTTATAACAACACGTTTACTTGGATTAAGACGTGGAATGAATCTTCACCAAATATGGTTGGAAGTTGCTGGAGTAGCCCTGTTGACCTAGGTGGTTCGAATATAGCTTTAGAATGGGAAATACAAATGTATTTTCAATGTATATAATAATTTCAATAAAATTGTTAAAATAAAAGTTTGATGGCAGAGGACTGAATCAAAAAATAATTTGCAATCCGAACTTTGAACTTGAAAAAAATATTATTCACAAAGTTTAAAGTTGCTTATATTTTTATCTTTTATTTTTTAAAAAAAAGTTAAAGTTTCAAATTCATGAAATATCTACTATATCTACTTAAAAACCTCAACATAAAATTCAAATAATTTGTTGTTTCTGCTTGCTTTGAAATTTTTGTTATAACATGAACGGTTAAGTGCATACATGGCATGCTCATTTTGTAGTAATGTAGCTTAATAAATTAATTTTTTGGGGAAAAAAAATTAATTGGTTGAGAATTTGTGAATTTTTAGTATATGGAGGATAAATAACTCTTTATAATGTAACGTTTCGAAATCATAAAAAAATATTTTATCGCTAATCGTACAGTATTTCATACCTTTTAATTCTTCCAACATTCAATTTAGATCCATGTGGATCGAAATCATTAGGAACTGCTAATTGAATCGCAATCAGGAGAAGACTGTAAGTTTTCACTCAAGGATAACGAAGGTATTTCTATTTTATTTTGTGTCCTAAATAGTTAGATCTTGTAGATCAATTTGGCCAATTTTGTCTCGTCTCCTGGTCAATTGTAATATGTTTCGTAACCGGCCATGACCTTATTGATTTTCGGTGGGATTTCGCTTGAATGAAACATATGTTCCAAATCCATAAATAATAAAAATAATAGTATTTTCCCTTTGCATTTATTATAATAACGATTGAGGCGATTAGATCCTTTTTTATGTAATCCGAGTTGACTAGTATATTTATGGAAATTATTATGTGAAGGATAAAATTTAAACCGAGGGCTGAAAATTTGAAAAAAAAAATATTTAAATATATTTGTCTTTTAGAACAATAGTAGAAACTCTTATAATCATCCGAATAAATTATACAAAAGCTAATCTCGGAAATGGTTAATTTAGAAAAAGTAATAAAAGATTTGGAAACTAGAATCAATGAATTAGACCAAAGTAATGAAGCGTTACTTTCACAATCCAAATATTTAGAAGAAAAGATTAGAGAACAAGAAGAAGCCGATATCAAGCAAGGAACTATTGATAATTTAGAAGAAAAGATT